TATCTTACCCGGCCTGGGGTACCATTTCAAGGCACAGGTCTACGACTGGTATAACACCTGAAATAACAACTGTTGAAAATTTCTCTCAGGATATATAATCAAAGTTGTCACTGACTACTGTATTACATGGGTCTGTTCACGAAAACTCTCGAAGAAAAAAAGGTCCCAGGCCTCCCATGCACCGAAGTGGATCAGTGACCCAATTTTGGACAAGGAACATAAACGGGTTCAGGAGCAGAGTACCATGTGTTACAGCCTTTCAGACCATCTAGCATGAGGTACGGAGAACTATGTAACTATTTCATATCATCTGATGTTTTAGAAGATATACTTATGTTGTACCCTAAATTTGGAATCCGGTGATTACAGAAAATATAATTATTTCATTTGCCTTTCTTTTTTTCATTTGAGGACTTTATATGACATATTTATTTATCTTATGTACTCTCTCTCTCTCTCTCTCTCTCTCTCTCTCTCTCTCTCTCTCTCTCTCTCTCTCTCTCTCTCTCTCTCTCTCTCTCTCTCTCTCTCTCTCTCTTACTCACTCACTTATTCACTCTCTTCTCACTCACTCACTCACTTTCTCTCTCTCTCTCTCTCTCTCTCTCTCTCTCTCTCTCTATATATATATATATATATATATATATATATATATATATATATAATATATAATATATATATATATATATATATATATATATATATATATATATATATATATGTATATATATATATGTATGTATGTATATATATACATATTTTTTTCTTCATATTTAAATGTTTACGAGACACAGAAATCCAATAATTACCGATTATAATTTCAATAACACTGAAGTATATAGAGCGAGTCTACACATTACTGGCTCCTTTTCTGCCCGCCATACATAGAAGGGAAAATATCTTTCGTCCAAATACGCTCCTTCCTTCGTCCAGCTCTTCCTCACCTGATCATCGGCTTTCTTGCTATGATGTCGAACTGGAACCCTTCGTCAGTAGCGACGTCGCGGAAGTTCACGAGGATGTCAGTTAGAAACCGGAACTTCTGCGGGTAAAGTTCCCTCATCTGGACGGCGACCCGGTGACTGTCGGCCAGGATGGAGTCTCCGCCGTCGCCCGAGAACTGGGTGATGCAATGCAGCAGTTGGACCTTGCAACACGAAGAGAGGAGAAGTGCTTAGTAAGGAGGCTTGTGTTCAAAGTCCCAGTACCTTGATCCATGTTCAGAAATCCTCTTTATCGGTTTAATGAGATTCTTACTTTGATTCCGTTTTCTGTCTACACTAAATAATATTCTGACATTAACTACCACAAAAAGAAAAAAAAAAATAGATTCTTACAGTCACGACCGGTTATAACCATCCTAATCCTCACAGACTTTACATAAACTTTATATAAAGTTACAAATGAACATACCAAGCAGGCAGCATTTAGAAATAAATCAACAATGTTGCTTACGCATGGTTTGTAGTGCAGGAAGACTAAATCAGAGTGCAAGTCGAGGTATTTTCCGGTATACGCTGGGTTACTTGGGTCAGCCTTGCTTTTCACAGTGAATGTGGTTCTGTAAGTGCATTTTGAACTTAGTAGATCCTTTGCCTTTCCTCTTTATTCTCCAAATTTAATAACTGTGTAGGGATAGTCATATCAGTGTTGGTATTCTTGAAATAACTGTGTGAAGTGAAATGTACCAGAGGAAAGAGTTTCGGCAATGGAAAATTTCTGAGGATGATGTGTTATCTTGTCCTTTGGTGAGGATCATAACATCGGCATAATGCCAGAAATTAATGAATTTTAAACACCAAAAGTGAATAAAATGAGTAAATTATAGATACCAAAATTAATAAATTATAAATACCAAAAAATAATAGCTTTCACATACCAAAAGTGAATTAATTCTGAAAATGAATAAATCATAAATAAATTACATCACACCACAAGATTCCCTCCAAATGGGCGGAAGCCTGTAAGTGATCGTAAGAGACAAATAAACGTTTAAAGCTGTAATCAAATAATAACAGTACTAAGATTTGTTCCCATTCCATAGTAACTCAGTCACAAAATGAAAATTTTAGATCATTAATATGGTTATCTTACCCTGTATATAGAGAAACATTTATTCAGACAGACTGAAGTTTTCTCTAGCCTGCCTTGATGCCTGTGACAGACACGATTCAACGATGCAATTTGACCTCGTGATTACATCGTAGCCTTACCCATAGTGTGAGGGAACGAGGTACGACACCCTCTCGCTCAGACGCTGCAGCTCCCCCTCCTCCTGTCGGGCGCCGGACACCACCGTGAACCCGAGGACCTCCATGTTCTCCAGGAGCTTCAGGAGTGCGGCGTCGTCCTCCATGAGTTCGTCGAAGGAGGCTCTCGGGATCCTCTGGGACATGTTCGAGTCCCAAAGCTCTGGGCGAAGTCTGGGGGAAAGAATTCAGTCAGGAATGATAATACCAAAAACAAAAATTAGTTTGAATTAGCTTGGTCTAGCCTACCCAATCGTGGAGGGGCTTAGGAGACAGAGACTGAGGCCTTATGAAGGATCACCCCTACCTTGCACCAAAGCCCTCGCCTCAACTAATTTTGCATGGTCTTTTCTTATCCCCTTTTCCTTTTCCTTCTCTGCTTCAACCCCTTCTTCTAACTCATTTTTACCCTTTTCGCCACAATGCTTTACCATAGTGCTCAATGACCTTTGATGTCTTGCACTTTCATTTGTTTTAACCATTAACCCTAATTTGGTGGAGCCTAACGTAACTTAAGAGGAGCAACAGGTGGTCGCTCGGGAAAAAAAACTATCTATGATTTTAAAAAACTCCATATCTTTGCCAAATAACAATGAACAGTTACACAGATTCACTAGTATTTACATAGTCGAAAAAAACATAATGCCTCCCTTTTGCAATATTTATACTTATCATTCCCATTGCAGATCACAACTTCAACGTGACTCATATTCCCTTAAAGTATAATAACATACTTATAGAAATTTTCGTGTATGTCTTGCTGCGTCGGATTGAAGGCTCGCTCGTAAAGCCAACTTGCATTGTAAGTTCCCTCGTGATCGTCCTCCCACACGACGCGGAGAGAAGCGCCGTCCTCAGACACCTACAGATGTGTTTATAATCAGGGATAGTTGTGCTTGGAATTCTAGATACAGTAGTATTTGTGTTATACTTGTTGATATTACTGTTAGTGTTATTGTAAAACTAGAATTAAAAACTGGAGCTCCAAATTGGCAACTCGTTGAATAATCTTGTAAAAATAAGAAAATTGAAATTAGTAAAGTTTTTAAGAGCCAAAATGGATGCATTTTTTTTTTTAACTACGGATGCTAGTCACAGATTGAACGTTTTTTTCTACTTGTTCGAAAGCTAATTTATTTAGCAGCCAATTCACTTTCTATTTTTTTTTACATCATAATGCTTATCAAGAGAAAATAAAACTTCCATATTTAATTAATCTCACTTACATTACAGATAAGAAAATGTTACCCTCGGCTGGAATCTTATCACAGACTTACACACACTTCCTTCGGGCGCACATCGAGGGAAAGGTCCGTGACCCTCGATACCCGACTGGACGCTGTCTCGAGAAAACAGGCTGGGCACTGGCAGTTGTCTCGAAGCCATATGTAAGGTAACTCATCCGATTCTCCGTCGTGCCACCAGACCTGCAATTGCATATTTACTTTTTTGAAATAAACGTCTCATACCGTCATTTAACCTCGTAAAAGGTATACCATTAGTAAGGTCTGTGAGCGGACTGTATATGCATATGCATGTATATATTGATATTTAATGAAAGTATGTGTCTTTGTTTTTCTGTGTGCATATGTATATGTATGTGTGGGGGGATGTGGACACAAACACACACACCCACACACACACACAAACACCCCCCCACACACACACATACACACAACCACACCACGGGTGGGTCAAATACAATTGAATTTGTACTTGAAATGTATTTAAATAGTTTCAAAATACGCATTTGCATTTGTATTTCGGCACACAAAAGAAAAAAGTTTGTACTTGTATATGTATTTTGAAAGTCGAGACTAGTTGGAGGAGAGAGAGAGTGGGTGTGGGGGGGCGAAGAGAGAGAGGGAGAGATAAAGAAAGGGGGGGGGAGTGAGAGAGACAGAGAGACAGGCAGATAGAAAGAAATATAAAACAAAGAATTCAGAACATGGTTGGTGTTCTAACCCTATCAGTTACAGCCCAGCCCAAGTAAGATTAAACGTCTGAAAGAGTAAACTTAAACTTCTGAACGAGTAAAATTCCACTTCTGAACAAGTAAACTTCTCAGTGAGTAAAACTGCACTTCTGACCAAGTACTCGCAAGATTGCACTTCTGACCAAGTAAGATTGCACATCTAACTGAGTAAAATTGTACTTCTGACCGAGTAACATTGCACTATTGAATGAGTAACATTGCACTTCTGGCCGAGTAACATTGCACTATTGAATGAGTAACATTGCACTTCTGGCCGAGTAACATTGCACTATTGAATGAGTAACATTGCACTTCTGACCGAGTAACATTGCACTTCTGGCCGAGTAACATTGCACTATTGAATGAGTAAAATTGCACTTCAGGCCGAGTAACATTGCCGAGTAACATTGCATTATTGAATGAGTAACATTGCATTTCTGGCCGAGTAACATTGCATTATTGAATGAGTAACATTGCATTTCTGGCCGAGTAACATTGCACTATTCAATGAGTAACATTGCACTTCTGACCGAGTAACATTGCACTTCTGGCCGAGTAACATTGCACTATTGAATGAGTAACATTGCACTTCTGGCCGAGTAACATTGCACTATTGAATGAGTAACATTGCACTTCTGGCCGAGTAACATTGCACTATTGAATGAGTAACATTGCACTTCTGGCCGAGTAACATTGCACTATTGAATGAGTAAAATTGCACTTCAGGCCGAGTAACATTGCACTTCTGACCAAGGAAAATACTTATAAACCTCTGA